TTTTACTTTTTGGTCTGTGAGGCGGAGAGAGCAGTTATTTGAGTGTTTACTTTTGTGCCAAATCCTGTGTCGCAGACTTGACATATATGAGGAAGTTGGTGTCTGTAGCCTTCGTTTGACAGGTAAAAGGGACAGAAATCTTGAGGAATTAAGTTTCTCAAGGCTGCAGGGTCTGTTTCTCTCGTGCTTGGGTGCAGCTGGAATGAAACACATGCTATGAACCAACAGTATGTTATTTACTGCACATAATTGCCCTGGACATCCAAAGAGGAGGTATGGGGAGTTCTTTATCTAGACCCATCAGAATGCGGGCGGTGGGGGTAGGGACATGCACCGCTTTTTAAATCCTGCAAGGGCTCTCTGGAGGAGGAGTCCTTATTCTGCAGCACAGTCCCTTGAGTGTGTGCCCTTGGGCAGGCACCGTGCCTGGGGACGGGGACTCAGAGCTGAAGAGGACAAAGTCTTGCTGTCAGAGGGTCGCTGCCATTTCCTGGTGGGCAAAGCCAGGGGCAGGGAGAACAAGGCTGGGTAGCCAAGCACCCCCGGGGAAGCGAATCTTGAGAAAAGTACCTGGTGCTGGCTTGTCCCAGTCACCCTCGGAAATGAGGGCTTCGAGCACGCGGTGAAGACGGTGGGTAAAAGGGTAGGGAAGAGCAGTAAGGCATGGTTTTAAGTGCAACCCGTGTTTCCCTTTTGGAAACTACAAGTGGATTGTGAGCTGTCTCAGGATCCTGCCGCAGACCTCTCTCTCGCAGGCCACTTCCAGGCCACCCCTCGGGGCCGGTGGCCACAGCATCTCAAGTGTGGTTTCTTATCTCGTGACTAAAGATGGCAAAGTAAGATCTAAGGGAAAACTATGTCCTTTTAGATAAAGCCTTTATGCTGGTCATTTTTTTTTTTTTTTTTTTTTTTAAAGTTTGCAGTGTAGTTTTGGTGAACTAGAGAGACTGTTCTGTGGAAAGTACGATTCCTTGGTTATTCATATTAGCTATTGAATGGCCTCTAGCAGGTCATGCATGCATGTCTGGGCATCGCTGTGTTAATTTTGTATGTTAAAAGGACTTGGGTGAGTTCTAGATGTGACACTTGGGTTTTCATGTTAGGATTTTTATTGTATAAATTGTTCCATAGTATTCTTTTTCTATTTATTTCTTTATTAAATTTTTTTTTTTTTTTAAATTTTCCCAAGGATATTTTTCTACTGATTTTTTAGAAAGATGCCCTGGCCAGTTTGGCTCAGCAGTTAGAGCGTCGGCCCGCGGACCAGAGAATCCTGGGTTCAGTTCCCGCTAAGGGCACGTTCCTTGGTTGCAGTTTGTCCCTGGCCCTGGTTGGGGTTGTGTGGGTGGCAACCACTCGATGTGTCTCTCTCACATTGATGTTTCTCACTCTCTTTCTCCCTCCCACTCTATCTGAAGATAAATGCAAAAATGTCCTCGAGTGAGGATTAAAAAAAAAAGAGTATGGGGGTGGGGAGGGAGAGAAACATCAATGTGAGAGAGACACTTTGATTGGTTTCCTTCGTGCATGACCCTGACTAGGGCCGGGATTAAACCTGCAACCCAGGTACATGCCCTTGACTGGGAATCAAACCTGAGACCCTTTGGTACTCAGGCCAATATAACTGCTTAACCACACCAGCCAGGGCTCCATAGTATTATTGATAGATGTTCATACATGCATCCATATTAATAAAGAAGATGAAGTATTTTAAATTAAAGGTGTTGTTGACCCCTTGGTTCACCTTTCTCTTCACTATAGATAACCCCTGGGGAATGGAATTTATATACCTGTTATCAATGTGAAAATTTCCCTTTAGTCTATCAATAAACTTTACTGGTTTAGGGATCCCTGCTTTTACCATCAGTTTCCAGTCCTGCTGTGGGGCAGAACTAGATTGTAGTCCACTGTGACTATTTCAAGTGATTTGTTATTCATTATTGAGGTACAAAAGTTTGACACACTTCAAATCCAGTTCTGCACTACCCTCTCCTTTGCCTTCTGTCTTCCAGAGTGAGAAAAGAACTGCATTCGAAGGCAAGACAAAGTGACTGTAATTTCTAGTTGTTACAATGTAAGAACTATCAATAAAAGGAAGGGAATGAGTATCACAAAGGTCAATATTATGTTTCTGATATTAGCAACAGCATCAATAATAGTTATGGCTAACCCTTTATAGGTGGTTATATATCAGGTCCTAGTCTAAGTGCTTTACATACATTCACTCATTTACTCCTTATAGTTACTCTGGAAGACAGGCATACATTTTAAATCTTAATTTTACAGATGAAAGAAACGGGGCACATTAACTTGCCCGACTAAGGCCCCAAGGATAGGAAATGGCTGCTCCTGAACCCCAACTCAGGCAGTCTGGCCCTCGTTCTGTATTTCTGTTTTGTGTGCTTGTTCTATTTTTAATATGTTTTTATTGATTTTAGAGAGAGAGGAACATCTGTGTGAGAGAGAAACATTGATTGGTTGCCTCCTGCATATGCACTCTGACCGGAGATTGAACCTGCAACCTGGGCATGTGTGCTGAGTGGGAATCGAACTGGCAGCCTTTTGGTGCTGGCCAGGGCCCGGTTCTGGATTTTAACCACAGTATAGGGGTAGGAAGATGATAGTGATAGAGGACACCTCGGCATCGGGTAGGGCATGGAGTGCTGGTAGTTACTTACAAAAAAAAAAAAAAATATGAGGGCCTTCATTAAAGGTTGTAGCTGCAGTTTTTAGTATATATGGATTGAATATATGTTCAAAATATGTGTTACATGTATGTGTGTGTGATGTATCAGTTCACTCACACTGTATTTGAGAAATGGCAGTAAATGTGTAACACAGTTTCCTTACCATTCTTACTGTTTGATGGACAGTAAACCTACATTTGGGGACCACTCATCTCCCATATTTTCACATATGGACACTGTGGAAGCGTTTCCCACCCTGGCATGCCCCTGCTTCTGCGGAATATTCGTATTTCTTTGCCTTTCCCCCTAAATTACCTTACGTGTTGGATCTTGTCTTCGCCAAAGGCATTAGGTGTTGACCGTCGCCCTGAAGGAGAAGTTAACACATTTGTTTGTGTGCTGGGAAAGTTTATATAAAATGATAGTTAAAACAAAATAACTTCTAAACACGTGTCTGACCTACTCTTCATATGTCTAAAGTGGAAAACTCCGGAAGGACACTTCACGGTTGTGTTAAGCCAGTCTAAATTTGGTTAAAAGTTCTAGGAGACACACTTGAATTTATGCCAGAATGTGTTCTCTTAAAATAAACCTGACTGCACAGCAATGCTGGTAGAACCAACAAAAATGCTGCACATGAAACAACTAACATGTTAAAAAAAAAAAAAAGAGGTTATTATCGAAGAGTTCCCTCCTCCACTACTTAATGCATTCAAAATTAGAACGAACAGAAGCCAGCGTTTTCCTTCCTGCCAATTTTAGAAAATAAGCCATTCTTAAACTTCCAGAACAGTACCGTTTCCCTTTGGGATTTATACAATTAAAAAGCAGAATCAGGGAGACAAGTGTTTATGAAATGGATGAGAGTTTAGTGACCCGAAACGCAGTGGAATTTTTCTCAGAATTGTTGACAGTGTGAATGGTAAACACAGGCACTTGCTAATGTTTTTATTTCCTTTTTACACTCCTGCCACACTTTCATGGTCCTGTCTTCTTGTTGAAGGAATCCCATCTCAGTGATATTCAGCTTTCTCCAGCCCCGCTGGAGAGCAGTCTCCAGCCATTTTAATATGCAGTTGAGGAAGACTAGTTGGTTAACCCATCTGTCTCCTGAGCAGCTGTGAGTGAGAGAATTTAGCTGGCTGTCAAGTCCCACCTGGGGGAGGACAGGGCTGATAACTTGCTAGTCTTCTTAGCTCTTAAATTGGATTGCTTTTCAAGGCTAGAAAAGTGTGGCACAAAGTTTATATCTTTATATTTATGTATATGTGTGTATACAAACACATGGACATATACACACATATGTAATTTTTATTTTATTTATTTATCTTTTAAATCCTCACCTGAGGATACTTTTTCCATTTAACTTCAGACAGAGTGGAAGGGAGGGAGGGAGGGGGAGAGAGAGACAGACAGACAGACAGACAGACAGACAGACAGACAGACATCGATGTGAGAGAGACACATCAATTGGTTGCCTCCTGCACAACCCCAACCAGGGCTGGGGATCGAACTATAACCGAGGTATGTGCCCTTGACCAGAATCAAACCCGCGACTCTGCTCTGAAGGCAGATGCTCTAACTGTTGAGCCAAACTGGCCACGGCTTATATGTAAATTTTAAAGGCCTTTTTTTTCTCTCTCTTTCATTGTTGCTTGGACAAATAGAGCACATTTTCAGTGAGAATGGTGTTACTAAAACCACAATGAAGATTTAATTTCACATTAAATTTTGGCCCAGTTGGGAATTTGGGTTATTGATGGTAAATATAGATTGTTCATATTGTCAGGTAAGTTGCTTCTTAAGAGTTGCAATAGCACAAAATGATCAAAAAGCTGATGTTTCAACTTGTGCTGATGTAGATTAATCACAGGTGTGGAATCTTGAGGCTTGCAATGAAAAGACTGTGAACGATCAACCTCAGGCATGTTTTATTGTATAGAATTAATCTATAAAAAGTGAATCTTGGTGCAAAACTATGTGCTCTAATTAACAGCAACTTCAAGCAAGAGGCTGTCATTCCATTAGTGGACTGAGTGCTTAATGAAACTTGAGATTAAAAATATAGAAAATGTCTCTACTTTGTGGTTAGTCACATAAACTACCCGAGTAAGGAATCTAGAGATTTAAATTTCCTGAGTAAGGAATCCAGAGATGTAAATTACCTGAGTAAGGAGTCCAGAGATTTACATATGATAGATAATATAGTCTTGATACTATAGCACATGCTTCTGGGAGCAGACCCTTCCCCTCCCAACTCCACATCACTCCCACCCAAAGCATCATGGGACCAAAGAGGACTCCAGAGGGGTTTGCCCTGATTGCAGGGAGACTGGCTTCAGTCCTGATCTTCACATCCTTCATGCTGTTGCTTCTTCCCTTCTGACATTCCTTTCTTAGAGCCCGCTCCATTTTAATGTTCTGCCTGCCGTGTTACTCTCAGTCTGAGCTTGGTGGTGATTCGCAGATTCTCAGTCTCATCCGATAGGTAGGTGGTGTTTGCCTACTTTGTAGCTGGGGACTGGAGTTCAGACAGTCATGGACTCAGGATTCCAGAGCCTGGGAAGCGAACCTATCTGATGTAGGTTCAGTTCCCAAACCGTGTAATTTCAAGCCTTTGGCTTTTCCCACAAAAATGAATTGGGAGGCAGAGTGTGTCCATGTCGTTAACAGGGACAGCACAACATACACTCAAGGTCTAAGTTTATGGGAAAAGTTGTAAGAGCTTTCTGACTATTTTTAAAAAGAACAGTTTTATTGAGTTAGTTCATATACCAAAAGACCTGTTTATGGTGTGCAATTCAGTGGCTTTTAGTAAATTCAGAGGTCTGCAGCATTCATCACTATCTGTCAGAACATTTTCATCACCCCAAAAAGAAGCCATCAGCATGTAAGACTGATTTTAAAGCTAAAATCACTGAGGTTGAAGTCAAAGGTTGGGCTCCCAATCATCCTGTGATCTGAATGGGACAGAAACTGAGTTCCTGGACCAACCCTGCAGTGGGTACCAGTGTTGATTTACTGTCATAGAATCCTCCAGAACAGTAAATTCTCAACCATTATAAAAAAAAAATGCCAATTTTGACAAACTCAAAAATCTCACATTCTTCTGCCCATTTTTATTATGAAAATAACAGGATTTAAAATTTTCCAAACTCTATCTGCCACCTCCAGTATTTTGATTAGAGAATCAGCTGCATCTCAAGACTTCTAGGTCATTTTATTGCAGGTTTGCTTGAACACATTAAATGAATCAGTACAGTCATGATTTGAAATGACTCATGCATTATGTAATTTCATCTGTAAATGTAGTGATCCCAGACAGTGAGTGCTAATAACAGGCAAGTTCACTCCTTGGATCATCCTTCTGCTTAACATTTAACTTGGTCCATTGCTTCCTCTCTGTTACGTTCTTTATGCTTATTAAATTAAGTTGAATTGCATTACATAGCAATTTATACATTTGTTCTTTTCACTGTGTGGTATAAAAAGGTTGGGGTTGGGAGAATGGCGGGGAGGGTGGGGAAGAACCATTAAGAAGATTGCATTGTCATGAGAAGAAGTCATCTTTTCCCCGCTCGGTCCCCCGCACCTTGACTGGTGACACCTGGAAGGGGGCCAGTGACTTAGAGCCGAGCCTCAGGAATTGTATCAGGGCCTGGTGCCAAGTGACAATCTCAGGGGTAATTTTCTGGGAAAAAAATTAACATTTTCTTATAAGATGAGGCATCTCATTTCTTACATTTTCCTGACAACATCTTAATTTCCAGTAATATTACAGTATTAGCATGGTCTTATTCTCAAGTTACTTTTCTGTAGTGTAATTTAGAAAGAGATTATGTTCTATAGTGTTGGAGGAGGGAATACTTCCTTGTTTTCATAGGTAAGTCATTAAGACGCTAAGGTTTAGTGTATATGTTTAGTATATACATTGTCTTTTTTTTTCTCTTCGTTTCTCTCTTAGTCTCCATAATTTAGGATTTGGGAGAGGTTTTTTTTGTTGTTTTTTTGTTTTTTTTTTGCTTTGAATTAAAAGCCATGACAACACTAAAAGTGGATTCTGGTAGGCCTGCCTTTTTTACCATTAGTATAATTTTTAGTGTTCATATTCCTCATGGAGGTTGTCTCTTCTACTTTGAATTCATTATCAGGGTTCATCCATGCATCTGTAACATTTATTAAGGACCTTATATTTTACAAGACTATCCCCGATGTTTTCAAGATGAAAAAATACTACGTTGAGGAATCCACAGACTCACTAGGCAGTGAAATAAATAAAATAAAAAAAATGAAATGTACTTTTTAGGTGCTGTGATAATTCAGTTTCGGAACTACAGATGAGGGTACATGTATTTCAGACAGGTGTGAGCCTGGGGATTTCAGGGAAGGCTTCCATCAGGAGGTGATTCTTGAGTTGATCCTGAAACAGCAATTTACCAGATGGAAAAGGGCATTTCAGGTAAGCGAGTACAAAGGCAGGAGGTGAACAAGATTGTGGTGTCCTCAGGGAGCTGTAAGGTGTGGTTAGGGTCAAGGTACCTGTGGGGTGATGGCTAGATGAGGTTGAGAGGTCTTGGGCCAGGTGATGGAAGTCAGGACATTTGCACATGCTAAGGAGAGCCATTGACAGTTCCGCTGAGGACAGGCAGCTCGAGGGACATTGGCATTGATGGCACTGTTGGCAGATACTTGGAGGAGATCACAGGAGAGTCACTTGGGGTGCTGCTGGTGGGAAACAGTAATGTTTGAGACAAAGGCAGTGATAGGGTTTGGATGGTAAATGTCTCAGATTCAGATTGGTCAATGGTGGTTGCATTGCATGAAATACAATATAAAGGAAGATTAGCAGGTTTGGGGTGTTGGGTGAGGTGGCTGTGCTCACTTTAGTTTTGTTAATCTAGAGTCCTTGTCTTGGAAACTGGATGCATTCTCATGCCCCTTGAGAGGCTGTTCTTGAGAGAACCCCCACTGTTTGTGTGTTCTCTATTCAGTTCTCTTTCAGTTGGCAAACATTATTGGTACGCAAATCAAATTAAAAGCAACCTTCTGTGAGTTAATAACTAAATTGCTAAATAAAATGAGAAATGTTATTTTTATTATTTTTCTTAATGAATGGGTTGGGTGCTGTCTCAGTAGAGGAATAGATTGGAAAAGCATCTTTAATGAAAGAGGAACCTTTCCTGTTAGCACAGTTCTTGAGGAATCCTGCTAGCAATTGTAAAAGAAATGTCTGAGCAGAGAATCTTTGAGCTGGAGAGAAGTTTAGCAATTTGGCCCACCCTTCTCAATTTTTACTTAGGAAAAACAGATGCCAGAGAGGGTGATTTCTCAATCACAGAGCTATAGTAAAGGGGTGTGTCTGACTCATTTGTTCAGTGTTCTCTTCATTGTACCTTAACGAATCCCTGCAAAGATCCCATCAAGATGGGAGGTAGAGTATGGACGATCTCCAAGGCTCAAGGTTGCTTAGTCAGTGGTAGACCCAGAATCACCTGGATTCTTGACTTTAATCTCATTTTAACTCAGTATCACTGTTCATCAGTCAGCAAATATTTGTTGACTAGTATGAAAGGGGTGTTATTATAAAACTAGAAAGTTAAATAAGAGGCTATTTTTTCTCATCAAGATTCTTGCAGGTTATTTTTTCAGATCACTCATTACAGGACTGGCAATTACTTTATATAAAATGTATATCTTGTCTGACATAATTATGGATATGGAGAATAAACACAGACACACGCAGTAACAACAAGAAAACAAAGCCATTCAGTATATTGTTTATTGTTAAGTTTTTCTTTTTCTTTTTTTTTTTTTTAATTTTATTGTGTCTTTTATTTTTATTTGTTCCCAAGTTCTTTGTGCATGGGGGCAAGCAGTTTCCTTCCTAGCCTGGAAATGCCTCTATGCCTGTGGGCAGGTAATACCTTAAACCAAACAATTAGAACACGAATGTTGATTTCTTCTTATTCAGTTTGTTCTCATTGAAACTTAATTAGGGAGAGTGATCTGGTGAAAATTTTATTTAGGTTGGTAACTGTGACATAAATATTTGCAAGAGGGCCTTGAAGAAATGATTTTTTTTTTTTTTTTTTTATCCTCACCTGAGGACATTTTTCCATTTTTGCTCAGATAGAGTGGGAGGGAGAGAGAGGAAGAGAGAGAAACATCAACGTGAAAGGGACACATCGAGTGGCTGCTTCCCGCCTGACCAACCAGGGCCAGGACAAACTACAACCGAGGTATGTGCCCTTAGCGGGAACCGAACCCGGGTCTCTCTGGACCGTGGGACAACGCTCTAACCGCTGAGCCGAACCGGCCAGGGCAAGAAATGATTTTTAAAAGCTTCAGTTTTCTGTTCATTCATTTTGGTACCCCTCCTTTGCAGCGGCCCCTTTCAGTGTTTTCGGAAATTTCTGAACATACAGTTTTGAAAACTTAATTTGGAGTAGTTATATAATAAATGTAGTAAGAAAACATATTGCCATCCTAAAGTAAAGACCGCCCTTATGAAATAGTACTTTTTCTATAATTCTTGTTATTTTTTTAATGTTCCTTGTGTTAACCTGTTTCACTCAATTAGGAGTATTTGATACTTTTTGCACTGCTTTGAATTTAAGTCTAGGGTAGAAATTTAGCTATTTACTGATAGAGAAGTTTTCTTTAGCAAATTTATGAGCTTGAAATTGTTAATGCTTCTGGTTTTTCTGTAATTTTAAGCGTCATTCACTCTGCAGATATCTAAGTAAGTCTGGCGTGATGCTAGACCGGTGTGGGGCATAGAGCAGGATGTCGGATGCGGATCCACTGCTTTGAAGAAGCTGCCACTGAAGCTTTGCAGATAGTGGCCTAGCGAGGGTGTATAGACACAGGAGCCCCAGAGGGAAGGTTAGGAGTAGCACAATGTCGACATCTCTTTAGAAAACCTGAGCGTCTGGTTCTGGCCCAGGTAGGTGGCACACCTGTGAACTCGTACAGAGCGCTTTGAGATCATTAGATGATGAAAGCCTTCGTGGCATTATGTGTGAGGGTAATCATCAAGGATTACACGTTACTGCGACAGCAGATAAAACACCCCGCCTCGTGGGGATGGGGGGCTGGGGTGCAGCCGGCGCGGGCTCTGCCTCATAAGAGCTGGGCCCAGTGCTCTGAGAAAGGCCATCCAGTTCCCGGTGAAGTCAGGTTCTGTTTTTTTTTTTTATTATTTTATTTATTTATTTTTGTTAATTCTCACTCGATATTTTTTCCATTGATTTTTTTAGAGTAGGAGGGAGTAAGAGTGGGGAGAGAGAGAGAGAGAGAGAGAGAGAGAGAGAGAAACATGAATTGGTTGCCTCCCTCATGTGCCCCAACCAGGGCCGGGGATCAAACCTGCAACCCAGATACATGCCCTTGACCGAACCCAAGACCCTTAGGTCTTCAGGCCGATGCTCTAACCATTGAGCTCACCGACCAGGGAAGGGTCTGTTTTGAGAGAAGTGGGTTGGGAGG